CCCATTCCTAAGAGGTCCTTAAAGGGGGTGTGCATAAGCGCACCAGTGTGCCTACCGTCCCTGTCTTACTGTCCTCATGTCAACTCATATTTCTATGGTAACTGCCAGAATCCTGACACCCCATTTATCTGCATTTACTCACTTTGTTCTTGTTCATACTTATACTTGTTATGTTGTACATGTTTTACAAACAAATAAATTAATTAAAAAATCAGTTATTTACTGAGAGGATGTATGGGAGGGTAAAGACTGCTAGACCTGGGAGGCATATTTGAAGGAATTGCCCAGAGTTGGGGAAAACATTCAGGACCAGAATCTGGGTTGTTGGGCTGGGGTCTTGGCATTGCAGTCATGAATTGTGGACTGCACTGTGATTGCGATATATCCTTCTAGGGAAGCGAAACAACCATTTTCAGGCCTTGGATATGTTCATGAGATCCCCTGGCATGTTGACCAGTTTATACTAGGCTGATCAGAAGCTTCAGTGGATAACTGGCAATAAGAGAGGGCAGTTGAAAGGCCTCCTCTTCTTGATCCAACTCTTGTAAGAGGGAGATGTGAATGAGGTTGAGTTGATAAGGAAGTTGATGCAAATCAATAGAGATGACAAAAGTTTTGGTGTGAGGAAATCAGGAAGCTAGAGTGACTTATGTATGCCAAGTTGCTACTGTACCAGATTGCATGTGAGGCTTGAAGGGGATTAGCCTTGGGGTAATGGTGATTCATTAGGATCTATCGGTCTTCCTGATAGCAGAATACAAGCCTGATGGGGAGAAGGTAGGAAAGCAGATTGTGTACATGACAGATAGGATTATGGTGGAAATGCTGGGCTTACTATTAAAGGGAAGAGCATCCTGCAGTTGCTTTTGGTTCCCACTATTGCCAGTGACTTTGATATCAGTCTGCTGTTGATAAATTCCTGACCACGTCCCATCAATTACTGTGTTAACAAAATCATCCATTACTAGATGTATTAACAAAATCATATTCTATTAAATATATTAGCAAATGAACACCAATGGAGTCAGTATGCACACTGAAGTTGTATATATGAACTCTTATCACTTCCGATAGCAGTACTAATGGTAGAAATGGATTAATGAAAAAAATGGACTTTTTGGTTTTATAAATTTCTGAGGCAAAATGAAATCACTTTTAAAAAATGGAGTGAGCTGTGACACTTGTATAGTACTATATGAATATAAAAAATGATGTACAGGTAATCCTTGTAATGAATCCTGCCTGTGATGGTTATAAGTCATATGACTGGTCTGATTTTAAACTTTCTTTGTGGTGATTAAGTGAATCACTGTGGTTTGTTAAGTAACGTTTACTGAGTGGATACAAGCAATAAAGCTAACATCCCATATTTATTAGAATATTTTTTTCTACACAAAAAAATGAACCTTAAAAACAAGAAGAGTACTTGAGACTTATTCTACTTAAATACTCAAAGAGTGTTGTATTTTTTCTGACTGCAATCTACTATACCAGTAAGTTCAATAACCCTAAAGCTATTGTTATTTCCAGTTTGAATATTGTGTAGACAAATCAAAGTACATTTCTCTGAAAAGGATTGAAAAATTGGACACAGTGCCATGATCATTCTATCCTAAATACATACAATAATTATAATCCATTCATCCAAAACTGAACATTCAAACTGAACTATAATAGTATTGATTAGGATTATATGTTACATTATATGTCCTAGTTTCTTGAAAAAAACTGCTATTGGCCAAATTGACACAACTCCATATCAAACTAAGAAACAAAACAGTATCACTGACCAATTTATAAACCTGGATCTTCAGAATTCCAGATGACATGAATTCATAACCTTTAGGGATGTGTAAATTATTCATATTATATACATTTAATTTTTGTTAAAAAGTAGATCTAGTGTTTCTGTTTTAATTCCAGTTTGCGATAAAATGTAATTTACTATATTGTTCAAGCTATAGGGTTTTTTTTTAAGTATTTAAATGTGTTTCTTAAAATCTTGCCAAACATCTTGTAAATCTGTTGCAATACACAGTGATTAGATATTTACCCATTAACTTGGAAAGTATTTAAAGCAAACTAATGTAAACAAGTACCAGGCAAGGACAGGAGGTAAACAACTTGACTGGATGCTTATTGGGATAAGATTGCCTTGGAAGCATATATCCTGGTACATGGGATTTCTGAGCAGCAAGAACTTTCAGGGCTGCCAGCATTTATACAGGGAAATTAAGTTGTGTGATATGCAGCCCTAATGTAAACTACAGAGTTTAATATATTAATATGCCAGCAGATTCTTGTTCCCAGTCTGGTGTCTAGGAATCTATAGTGTCATATAATTTCTTGCAATCACCAGAGGTTACATCAGCTTTTCTCCAGTCCACCAAACTATGTTAATTATCTATTATTACTGTAGTCTTGCAAAAAAAGAAGCAGCCTATTCAGACCCTATTCTTGACAAGCTTTAGGAAAAACGTGACTAAGTTATTTAAGTTTCTTTACAGCCATTATTAGAATGCTGTAGAGTTAGGGCTATCAACTGCCCTTTGCCAGATATTCAGAGACATGGATTAGATAGAAAAAAGCATTTCCTACACCAGCTACCTTAAATCAATTTTCTAACCTATTTAGAGAAGATTTAACTATCCTGTTTTATTCAGAGTCTATGAGATCCAGAGTTCAGAATTCTTACTTTGATATGAAGTATTTAACTAGATTTCTATTATAAATTGAATGGATTCCTGTATTGGGCATCATTTGCAGTATATTTAAAGGAATAAAATATAAAAATCGTTATATTTAAAAAGTGAAGCATAATATGAGTACACTATTTGGGGGGAAAAATTTATCATGTTTAATAGTACATTAATCCATACTACATTATGTATTAGAATTCTTAAAATCTCAGATTATTGCTCTGATTGAGATATTTAGATATGAAGTTGAAAGAGAATTTAGATATAAGGTTACATTTAAGATATGGCAGGAGATAAAGATTGGCAACTCCACAAAGTATTTCTGGTTAGTCCAATAAGCATCATACCTGCGATTCCTAGATAGCAAACTAATTTCTAACTGCTCAGATGGGATTTAAAAACCATTGTGAATAAAAATTTATGAATAGAAATGTTGGAGTTGGAGCTAATCTTTTTTATACTGATGGAAACTCTTGCCTCCAAACTTTCTCTTTACATAACTTTACACTTGTTCTTAAATTGAGCAGAGAAAAAGTATCTTAACAGCTCTTTCTTACAGCAAATGCTAAACTCTTAAAAAGTAACAAATGACATAATTAAATTTGTTAATCCACAGGCACAGATACAGAGACAAAAGTCTGATTAGATTTTTTTTCTTCTTCTCTGCTGGTTATCAGGAACAGCTCATGGATTATTCTGTGTTTCAACATCAGCCCTGATGAGGACAAAAAGGTTCAAAATGTTTCTGAGTGTTTGAAAGTGAAAACAGTAATGATTTGGAAGTGCTACAAGGCTAAAAACTTATACTTATCAAGGACTATGCTCTATTGAATTCACTGGTACTTAACTTCCAAGTTCTATTGTTTAGGAATTGTACTAAAGATTTCATGAAAGCTTTAAAGCTATGCAGATAAACTCCAAGAATAAAGTACAACTTAAAAAGAAACATGTATGCTATGCAAATGTTATCTGTTAGAAAAAATAATCATTTGTGAGGAGAATCCCTTTGAACTGCTGAGGGAAAGTTCATGTCTGAACAGAGAGGTAAACTCTTAACACAGGAAAATACAGACCTAGAAACCTTTGAAGTTAAGACAAGTAGAATGTAGGAAGAAAAGGAGACAGGAGAAAACCCACATTTTCAAATGTTATGCGGGGAAGCAAAGTGCTTAGAAAAATTATACAGAAAACTTTAAAAAGTTGGGCCTACTGAAAACAGGGAGTGAAAATGTGCATAGGTAGTCTTCAACTTATGACCACAATTGATCCCAAAAGTTATGTTGCTAAGCGAAACATTTGAGTTTTTCCCCATTTTACTTTTCTTCCAACAGTTAAGTGAATCATTGTAGTTAAGGTAACTACATGGTTAAGTGAATCTGGATGCCCCATTGACTGTCAGAGGTTCACAAAAACTGATCACATGACCCCAGAACACTGCAACCCCCATAAATATTTATCAGATGTGAAGTGTCCAAATTTTGATCATGTGACAATGGAGAAATGCTGCAATGGTCATGTGACCATTTTTTGAGTGCCATTGTAACTTTGAACGATCATTAAATGAACTGTTATAAATCAAGGACTACCTGTATAGCGCTCACTAAATTGTGAAAGGCTGACTGAGTCACCGTTTCCCAATGTTGGAAAGTCCGTCGGTGGGAGGAAGATTTAAATCAGCTCTCAGTGGTGCTGAGTTGAAGGACTTCTGGTCAGAGATGCTGGAGCCGATGTGGGGGTGAAACCTGGACCCTTGCAGCTACACCCAAGAGAAGACTTGGATCACTTCCCTCTTTGTGGGCACTCAGTAGAGAGAATGGGAGAGAATTTTTTTTAAAAAAGATCTTGCTACATGCAATTTAGGAAACAGATGGAATGCACACACACACACCATATATTACCCATACTAGAATATGACTGTTATGGAGTTTCATTTTTAAATACCCCACTTTTGATAGTTCTAGACTCCGAATTCGTTTGACTAAATTCTGGAATGAAACACGCCAAAGAATTGAACGACACGAGCAGAAAACTGTCCTGAAAATAATATGCAAAAGATGAGTAGGTATCCGCGAAGTGCAACCATTACAATAACAATAGTTAATAATAATAATAATAATAATCTCGGCCACCACCCCGCCGGAGATATTGGACTCGTATATCCTGTCCTCGTCAGAGAGAGAGACAAAACTCTCCAGGTCCCAATAACCAACGTCTGAACATTGCAAGCGAGTATCTTTACCGCCGCCCACATTGCGTCTCGGCACCTGCGCTCTCTGATTGGTGGAAACGGAGACAAAACCTAGGAGAGAGTCAAATAGCAACAGACCCAGGCCACGTGACGGCGCGCGCTCCCATTAGGCCGGGGCTCCCTTCCAATCAGCGCTGAGAGGTCGGATTCAAATTGGGTCGGGTGCAGTGTTTCCCTCACGGCAGTCGGTTAGTGACGACCTCTGGGGCCGGAGGGGGGAATTTCGTTGTGGTCGCCGCCGCCGCCGCCATTCCTCTCATAATGGCTCATAAGCAGATCTATTATTCGGATAAATACTTCGACGAGAACTACGAATACCGGTACGAGAATGGGGAGGTTCCTTTGTGCCGGGGGGAGGGAAATGGCTGGAGTCGGCTTTGGATCAATTTGCCTTTGCTTGAATATAGATAAGCGAAACAACGAGCGCTTGGCCGCCTCAGGTTGTAACAAAAAGGAGAGCTGGGAGAGGGCTTCAGGGGTTATTTATGCCGGTGAAAGGTGGCATCAATGCCCACCAAAATCATCTTTATGCGTAGAAGCCGCCAGCAAAAGAGCTGAGGCACTGCTAAAATTCAGTAACCGCCTGTTGTTTTCATACACTCGACCTCTGAGGGAGTAACTTTTCTCCCTTTCCACCCTGAACTCTTTATCCTGACCGCAGCTCTGGAAAAAAAAGAAAAGAATTGGCTGATCCAGGGTTAACTCTCGGGGAAACCTAGTCGCTAAGTGGGCGTTGGCTGCACGAATGGTTCTTTCTTGCTCATCTTCTAGATTTGGAGAAATTGCATGATTGTATATGGTATGAATATTGAAGACTTGTCTGTGGCACTGGAAACTTAACCTAATATTTGATACTCCTTTGAAAGTATCTGAATGCTGCCATTGTTGATTAGGTAACTTCAGCTGAAGTAGGATTCTCAAGAATTTCGATCACTTCCCAAAAGCAGTGGATTTTTATAGGAGACTTTATTTTGCTTGTGACTGGGTTCATGCATATGGAATCAAAACTAACCATTTTGTGTGTGAGTTTGATGTATACATTTTAACCGTGATAGGCATGTGATGCTGCCAAGAGAGCTCTCAAAGCAAGTACCAAAAACACATCTAATGACTGAAGAAGAATGGAGAAGGCTTGGTGTTCAGCAGAGTCTTGGCTGGGTCCACTATATGATTCATGAACCAGGTAAAACAAATGCAGATGTTACATTTTTAGAAAATATTTCCCTGTAGATTTCATGGTGCAGTGATGTGAATGGGGAGTGTTAGTGCATAACTTATTAAAATGTTTGCAGATTTCATTTGTGGTCAACATCTCCCCCCCTTCTGTCATCTGGGAATTAAAGGGAAAAATGCAAATGTATAGAGTCCTGTGTCAATTGAGCTCAATTGTATAATTCTTGCTTTGGAGAAATAAACTTAGTTGTAACATTGTGGAACAAAATATTTTAATACATTTTGTTTAGAGTGCTTACTGATGTCTTTTAATGTGAAATATTTAGTTGTGATATGACTTCACAATTTATTTTGAACATGTTGGAGTATAGCCTTACCTTACATATTTGAAAGGGGATTATCCTTCCCAGATCAGTTACAGTGGCAGTGATAAAGAGATGGGTTTAATCAGCATGAATCAGAAGTTTAAGCTTTCACAACAATCATAAATTTCTATTTTTCTCTTGCAGAACCACATATCCTCCTTTTTAGAAGACCACTTCCAAAAGGCCAACAAAAATAACTTCTCTAAATTTCTGAAATTTTATGTACAAATGTATATATGTTGGTAGTATTCAGTGAATACTTGAGAAAAATGTACAAATAAGTCATTACCTGTGCATGAGCTGTATTATTCACAGCAACAGAGCTCAGTAAAATGCAAAGTTAAGTTGGCTGCTATGATCTTGGACTCTCATTGTTAACAAGTGCCTATTTGCTCTTGTCAATTTTGTTCAATAAAGTTTACAACTTACCTGTAATATGTTGATTATAAAATCTTCAATGATCTTTGGTTTATATTAGCAATGTGTAACTGTTAGAGCAATTCATCCTGTGGCTTTTCAACTCCTAAAATAAGTGATGAAATAAACCTGTTTTTAAAATTAAATTCTAGTATGCATTTCATGGATTGTAATTTCTGAATCTAATTTCCATACAGTATAAGAAAAGCTATCCAAAATTTTTAATAACTGCCAGCTTATTTCTCTGCCTATAGATCTGAGATTTTCTAATAGATCAGCTAGTCATAACCACCTGCTGTGAAACAAAGAAAATTATCCATCTTTCAAAAGAGTCAGGCAAAACCTGTTGACAAATTCATACTGATTTGTGTTAATAGCTTGTTTTCAAATTGCTTATGGATCAATTGCTCTGTTATCTCTAGAATCGTCCCCAATATTGATGTTAGAGTAAACCTTACTGTTCCTGGAAATGTCTTTCCTTTTTGAAGTATTTTTCCTTTCCTTTCTAATTGGGGTGGTCTGTTTCAGTAATCTGGCATTTTCTCAAGGATAAATATTTGGCCAGACTACAATTCCTCTGACCCTGCAGATTTAAATGCACAATCACCTTATTTATCAACCTCATACTTCAACAGGCTGGAAGACTGATCTGAGAGTAACAAGATATCCTTTAATACAGCTAAGTGTATTATAATGTAAGTATTACATTTAGAGATGGAAAAACCTAGGACCTACATATATAACAGGGAAATAATAGTTTGGAAACACTGCATTTCAGCAGGACTTGGGTGTGGTCATTGGCAAGATGAGTCAGCAGTATGATACACCCATTAGAAGATAGGTAAGAGATTTGGCTTGCATTATAAGAATTGTGTTAAGGGTGCATGAAGTCCTTCCATTTGGTACTGGTTGCAGTCACATCTGGAATTTCCTGTATGATTTAGATGTCTACATTTCCTGAATGATACTGATAGGTTATTGTACGGTAGGTGTGTCCAGCCCACAGGTTGCATATGGTCCTGGATAGGTACAAGTTTTTAAAGTTTTATAATGTGTGATTTTTTTTGTGATATTTATATAAACTATGTCACATTTTATATGCAGCCTGAGACAGGCCAAAAGGTTGGCCAGCCATGCTGGAAAGCAAGGGTGTCAAACTCCACCTTGTTGTGGGCCTCATCAGGGGGTTTTTCCCCTTGGGGTGAGCAGGGGGGCCTGGTTATCACAGCTGAGTGGGTGTGGCCGGCAGGGGCTGGTCCCTCACCATCTCTGGGATGGTCTCACTGGGAACTATGCTGCCTATCACATGCCGAATTTGGCTCACGGGCTGCATGTTTGACACATCTGCTATAAAGGATTCAGAGGAGATAATGAAAATTGCATTGAGATGTGAATGCAATTATGAAAATAGGCAGAAGGAACTTAAGTTATCTGGGATGGGGAGAACCAAGGGAGGCATGATAGTTTAGAACAAAAAGAAAAGTCACTGAGATGTTTGAAAACTTTCATGACCACAGAAACTGACCAGAAATAGGTATAAGTTGCAGATACCTATATATTTAAATACAGCTTTACAATAGTGGAACAGGCTCCTTTATGGAGATTGTGAGTTCTCTACCTATGGAGATTTGTAATAACTGGGCGGCTATTTCTCATGGATGTTTATAGTTTTTCTGCATATCACACAGGGCTGGGTTTAATTGATCTTTATGATCTTCCAACTTTACATTCCATGATACAGTCCTAAATCTTCAGAGCATACTGATAGAACATCCTTTTCTAAAATAAACTTGTGAGAACTGCCACTTTTTTGTGTTAAGTGTTGTTTTCTCCCAGCATTTGGAATACTGATTCCCTTTTCTAAACCAACCCCTAATCTTTATGTAGTGTGCCTGTATTGACAGTATAATGAATTTTTATTATGGCTCAAGTTCCTATTTCTCTAGAACTGATTCAATACTTCACAAATCAATGTGACTGCATGTAAACTGCATGCCAATTTAAGCCTTCCAAATAAAACTTTTGACTATACACTTAAAATACGTGCAGTGCCTTTAATAAGGCAACCAGGTTCCCAAAATGTCTTCTGCTTAAAAAATTCAACATAACTATAGATGAGATCTTACTCGTACATAGTAGTATAGGCTTGCGAAAAATCAAGCCTCAAATGAAAGAGCAGCTTCCCAGGGCTATTCAGATGTATAGGGCTGTGTGTGACTTAATTTTGAAGGGAAAAAGCGTCTACTGAAATAAACTTCCAGAAAAAAATTGGATAATAGCGTTGTATTGTAGCCAAGGTTTCTGTCACTTCCTGTCGGAGATTGCATAACAAAAGCTCTCACAATGGCCTGCTCTACCAGTTCCCCTCCCTGGATGCAGCTTCCCTCCCGGCACGACTTCCTCGGGAGACCCTTGGAATACTTCCGCCTGCAAGCTTCTCTTTGCCGCTAGCGTCATGACGACCGTCATGTGATGAATACGCCGCTGCTGATTGGCCGTGAGCCCGAGAGGCTCTGGCGTCGCTTCCACGACGGCTTTTGTGCGCGCCAGCTGGGTTTGTGGTGGAAGGGAGGGTAGAAGTTGCCGTTAGGGAGGCATTGACCTTTGCTTGCCCCTTTCTTTTTCTCCCCCGCCATGACTTCAGAACGGGGAGCGGGCAATGAGGTAAGCGGGGAAACGGCGGTCAGACTGGGTCTGCGGAGAACTAAAAATAAAGACCGGCTTTTCTTTAGGTCGCCCTGGCCGTTGTTATGTAACCGGCAGCGAGAAGTACCACCCCAACCCCGCGATCTCCGTAAAGAGAAAGAAAGGAAAACCTCTGTGAGATTTCTTCTCGGTAAATCACGTCGCTTGATTTACGACGGGAGCCTCGAAATGAAGGTGTAGAATAGATGACAGTCTTTTCCATTCCGGTGGGGAGTCCTTCCTTTTCTGCAGAAGGAAAAGAGCAAATACACAGCAAATACAAGCGAAAGGCACATCTGGAGTGTGTTTTGGCAGCGGAAAGTCCGAAGCCAAACATTAAACCATAATGTTATTTTCCTTTCATATCAACAACTTATTTGAACACAAACAGGGGTGCTTATTAACCATGCCTTACTGTTAAAATATTCTGTGAACGTAGCCAATATACTGTGCCATTCCACTTCCAAGGTGGCTAAAATTAAAACGAATCTTGCCTATGGAATCTTTTTTCAGTAGTGTATGGCTTTGCACGTAATGCCTTTTCACTAAAGCAATGATAGGGTTGTCATTTCTCTCCATTTGTTCATTTTTCAAGGACGGTCATATTTTAATGACAAAACTTCCCACAAAAAGCTAAAGTTCAGGAGCCAGTCCTTTTTCCACTAAAAGCAACCTATTTTTTTTATTCATTGAATATATTATCTGACTTTCAAGACTTGTCTCAGAGATAAGTAAGGTACCTTGCAATATAGAACAGTATTGTAATTTTATTTGTAAATGTAAATTATTTTAAATAAGATGAATTAAAACAAGCAAAACAGCCTCCTGAAATTGAGCTCAACACCCAGGAATTACATCATGTGCAACAATATCATTTTCTTGATATTAATATAGATGGTAAATGGTTTGCCATTGTCTTCAACCTAGGTTCTGCCGCTGGTTAAAAGGAATCTAAATGAAAATATTGACACAACTATTTAAAGGGGCAGGGAGAGAGAATGATAGCAGTTACTTTAGAAAGTGTGAAACCTGACATTGGACTTTTCTGATTACTATTTAATCTGTAAAAAACATTCCTTATGTAGCAGGTACTTCTTTTAATGATTACAAATATAACAGTTATATTTTTTTTGTCCACTTATGACCAAATTGTGTGTCTGACAATAATATATATATAGAAGATTATTTAAAATAATATATTGGTAGCCAAATTAAAACTAGATGATGCAATAGGTCATTAGTATTGCTTCTTAGTGAATAAGCTTATCTGCATTTACTAGCTTTTCTCCTGAGATTAAAGTGCATCCAAGAAAAAGTATTCTCTGCATTAATTTTGCCATATTGCCTGACACTCCTAGTCAAAGAGAGTTCTTATTATTTAAATTTATTCACATCCTCTATGGTTAGAAGTGCTAATAATCTGTGAATAACATGGTACAAAACAAGCCAAACACAGTTATTCCACTTGGAGAAAGTGTATGGTTCCATATGGCTTATTAGAACATATACAAGCACATTAACTATATATAATGTGATTCCTAACAGAATAAACCAACTTAATTCAACAATATGATTGGGAATGTTGTAGAAGCTTAAGGTAACTGAGTCTAATGTCATGGCTCATGGGAATTACAAGTACAGATATGTAATATTTCAGAATGGAGCTGGGCTTGTGTGTGTACACACACATTTTGGTTAAGTTGTATAGTATATGTTTTTTCAGATTTTAATTTATAAATTTATAAATTTCATCAAAAAGATAATTATGATTAGCTACTGGCTGAAAAAAATATGTGATGTAAAGTTGCAAATTTTAATGTATTCAAATTCTCAGAAATGTAAAAAGATATTCAATAGGCATACTTTAGCTTAATATTTGTGTATATTTCAAATTTTGATTAAATATGCACTTACAAGTAATCAGTATAAATTTGCCAGATTATGGCTACACTAATTGCAAAAATAAATAATTCATATTCTTGACTGAAACCCTTGAGTTTCCTGCGGTGTCTTTAGAAATAACCACTAGAGGGTGCACAGTGAATGGGCATTTAACTGCTAGCTGAATAACTTGCTTCAGTTTGGTTGCTGCTTTATAAATGAAAGTTAACATAGAGCCAATGCAAACACACAGAAGTGTATATGCATATTATTATTTTCCGCTCAAATTAACCTACTGCAGGTTAAAGTTTTTTTCACTGATTGTTACAGATTATAATCTACTGTGATGGTCTAGTATGAATTGATAGATTTTTTTTTTTAACTGCCCCAACTAGGAGTGAAAAAGAGTGACTGGCCCAAAGTTACCTGGCAGCTTCTGTGCTTAAAGGAGGATTAAATCTTCTCCCTACTTCCTGTCCAGCAGCTTAACTGCTACACCATGCTGATATTTTCTTTCTCTCTACATATATAAATATGCATACATAGACGTAGATATATACACTAGGAGTGTGTAATAAGATCACGTTTCCTCTTTCACAAACTTCTTTAAATTACAGCTGACATTTAAATTTGTAATGTAAGATGGTAACTGGGGTAAAAGGATAGTAGGGAAATTCCTGCAAAAGAAGAGAGATTGCAGGAAGGAAGAAACTCCCTAAAGCCTATAGAAAGTCTTTTAACTTAATTTAATAGCAAAGATAGAAAAATTCTGTGTCTCTACTGCCTGTAATATCTTTGCTGCTGCTTGTAATTATTCAGAGATAATTGAAATCGATAGAAAAGCATCTTTTGTATTCCATGCTTATACAATTATTCCATGCTTATAATATGTATGTGTGTGTATGTGCGTATTTTTAAAGCAAGTATTTGCTTAAGCCATCAAATTACTGGTGCTGTTTTGAATATGCAGATGGCATTTTAAAATCTTCATTCTTGCTTGAGTAGAAGAATCATTTTCTCTCATGTACATGCACAATGTTTTTAACTGATTGTGGATAATCTGAAAGTATATGTAATCAAAACTTATTTTGTATATCAGGGCATCAAGTTATCAGCAGAGGTTAAACCATTTGTCCCCAAATTTGCAGCAGTAACAGTGGCATGGTCAGAACCCTCAGAAGCATCTGTCTTTCCTGGATATTATACAACATGCTACCCATATGTTCAGGAGCCATCAGTAAATAAGTATGTATCCTTTATGTCACATTTTTGAGGAAACTATTAACTTCCCAATATCTTGAATTTGATTTTCCAAGTAATTTGGTAATTATATTTATTGGTTATTGATTTAAGCAATGTATATGGCTCCCCATTTCAACAATTATTCTGAGTGATGTCATTGAAATGGTCCTTCAGTATTTTAGGTTACAGTAATGAAACACTTCAAAGTTGATGAGTGACTTAGGGCTTTTTCTCATCCCTAAATGCCTTACTTTTATTATCTATGGAATAATAAGAACAGGGTTTAAATGGAAAGAAGAGAAGAGAATTAAGGATAAAGAAAAAAAAGTTTGAGATACCAGTTCCTTTTTTGTTAAATTATTTTGCTGTTGGAACAAAATTATAACTTATCATTTAATTATTAAAGGAACAATCTTATTTATATAAAATAATTCATTTCTAAAAACATACAGATAAATGTTGATACTTTCACAACTTGTGATGTTCATTATAATGTTCTGTTGCATGTTGATCAGAAATCTAAATATTAATGCTAGCATTTAGAACTAAAATATTTTCCAACGATTCTTTTTATAAATCAGCTTTCATTCCATGAGATTAATTTGTCAAAAAATTCTTAGCAAAATAAAACCAACTGATTTGTTACAGCTTTAGAAAGCCATGTTTCTGCATTATAACAATTGTTTCACAAATTGTTTCATTTGAATACCAAACATACTAAGATATAAAATAAAAGCATACTTGTACAGTGGGATATAAAATGCTGATGTGTTTGAGTAACCTATTCTGCTAAAAATCAATATGTTTATTCTGTTTAAGACAACAGGTATATATTGAAGAAGTACCGTGGGATACCTCCACCTGTCTTTCTCAGCATGGATCTCAAAATCTTACAGGATGTACTTCTCTTGCGGAGTACAGCAGTCCTCCTTATTCACTTACTGCCGCACCAAGAACACATGCAGTTTCCAGCTTCCAGAGTCAGAACATTTTTACTAAACAGGGTAGAGAGTTCACCAAACAGACTTCTTTGATTAGAAAAGAATGTGCTACTTTATCCAGGGTAAGTGATAACCGCTTAGACAGCTGTTTTCTGTTCTTTCTCTATCCTTCTCGCTTCTTGCTCTTCATTTCCAAAGAAGGAGCTAATACTGTTGAATATTGCCAACATGAGAACCTGTGGTCCCCATTCCAGCATGCTTTTTGATCATTAGCTGGCATTGGATTCACAAGTAATGACTGCGATAAAGAGCAAGATTGCACAAATAGATCCACTGTTTTAGCTGTGACCTTTCCTGAGAAAAATCAGATGTGGTAGCCCTTGTTCGTGCTTTGTATTTCAATGCATCTATTACAAAGAGCACTATAGATAGTCCTCGACTTACAGCCAAACTTTTGGGATCGGAACTTTCATTGCCAAGCAGGGAAATTGTTAAGTAACTGGCACTCAATTTTACAACTTTTTTTTGCCCCAGCTATTAAGTAAATCACCCCAGTTGTTAATTTATATCCCCCACTGGACTTTGCTTGTTTGAAGTTCCCTGGGAAGGTTGCAAATGGAAATCACGTGACCCTAGGACACTGCAGCTATCATAAATACATATAGTTCTGCGGTGTCAAGCTTGATTTCATTGAAGGCCGCATCAGGGTTGTGTTTCTCCTCGGGGGCCAGGGTTGGTGTGGCCAGCTCAACATCGCTCGTGTCGGGTGCCTGTGGTGACCTGAGTACTCTGCCAGCAAAACAGGCTCTCAAGTTCCATTTTCAGCTGCAACGGCCTCCTGCAATCCTCTGCCAGCGGAAACAGAGGACAGAAGAGATGCACGCGGCCCTCCCGAGCTCCATTTTCACTAGCAGAGGCACGGCTAGCCGCTCCTTCGCTGTTTCCAGGGCAGCTCTGTGGGCCAGATCTAAGCACTCCAGGCCTTCAGTTTGACACCCCGATGTAGTTGCCAAGGACCCAAATTTTGACCACATAACTTTGGGGACGCTGTGATGGTTATAAGTGTGAGCATCAATTGGAAGTCACTTTTTTTAGTACCGCGGTTGCTTAAATGAATGGTTGTAAGTCAAGGACTACCTGCACATAGGGTTATCCTTGAAAAAAGCCCCAAAGCCTCAGTTAATACAAAGTGCAGGAGCTGAGCTGAAAACCAATATTTGAATCATATAGCTGGATCTGTATTATTGCAATTTGTTTTCCTAACAGAAATGAAGTAGTTAATATTAACAGTTTTTAATGTTTAATTGTTATCTGAGAAATCATCTTTCCCGTATGAACATGTCTGAATATTAAGATCTGAAGAAGAGGCTCATCTGTGTGCCTTCTCTATCTGAGAACCAATTGTTAGATGTATGCAAAAGGGCCTTCTTCTGCATTAATCCCAGGAAGAAATATACTCTCTTGTCAGTGACTTTTCTTTCGGCGTAATTTGTGTTTTTTCTTTAATGTTCATTTTGTTTTGCATGTTTTAATAACTGTTGACTATTTGAATAAATGTAAATAATATAAGTGAAATAAACAAGGAAATAATATAGAAAAATCAACTTGGAATATGTATTGTTTTTCTTTGTTGTTTTGTACAGAGACAACTGAAAAATAACGAAACTAGATTGGAGGATCAAAGGCCTAATGGAAGTGATTTTACCGGCAGATCAACAGAAAATTCACTTTATATTGCTCAGCATAACAGGAATCCTATTAAATCTGACACACTGACTTACATGATTGAAAAAAAAGAGGCCAGAATACACAGTGAGATCATTTTTACATATATTATTAAATAATATATTTAAAGATTGTTAAAATTTTCCCATCCATACAGAGAAATTATTCTGAAATGTTCTCTCTTTTGAAACAAAGAAGTTCCTATAGAAGTCTGAGGGGGAAAAAAAACAGACTTTGGATATAGCTAGAACAGGGCACAGTTGTGTGCATCTACAAATTTGACCTAAATTAAATGGGAGGGGAAATGAAGGGAAACAATCTAATTAGAATTGAGCATGCTTAGTGTGGATATAATTATTGTCTGGCTTGGCTGGGGAAAGCGATGAAAATCAAGATAGTATACAGGGTGGTAGAATGCAGCAGCTTGAGTCTTTTAACAGAATAATTTGTTTCAAGATTTGGCCTATATATAATAACTTAAAAATAGTAAACTGATTATAGCTATTGAAAAAGGTAACCATTAGTGTTTACATTTTGTTTTAAATTAGATAGGCCTATTAAAGTTATGAATGGGAAGTTCAACCAAATTCCAAACGCTGAGCATCTACCAGAACCTGCCTTTGAAATGACCTTGTCAGATTTCCCAAAACTCCAAGACCTAGAAAGTAACAATCTCCTGGATCTTCAAAAGCATGCATGGGGGCCAGTGGGCTCAGCAGAAGGAGATAAGCTGCCTCTGACACCTCCAGGAAAACTTGCAATTTCAAACATAACCAAAGAGGTTAGCCACTGGATAGTGTTTGAGATGTTGAAAATAGAGGTGTTGATACGAAACTATTTGCTGATCAGTACAACTGCCAATCTCTATTAAGGAAAAATGAATAGAAATATATTTCAATCAATAATGTCAATTCCGTTGCATGTTAGAGAAAATTTGGAACTGAATTCTTAGTTCCCAAGAATGTTCTTCTATGTCTTCTTAAAATGACATTCTGATTATTTTATATATTAGGTTTAAAATATCCTTTTCGGGTGGTGGTGGTGCAGAAAACCTAGTTTGATTTATATTTATAAAGAGAAAGAGTTGGGTTGGCAACTGAAAATGATTAAACTTTTCTTATTTCACTTGTGTATGTAATAATTTTTATATGGGTTGGTTTATTCTGTTCTGTAATAATGTTGCCTCAGTGAGAACAATGCGTTGAATGCATTAATATAGCTTAAGTTTTGTATTGTCTAGCAGGTAATAAATACACCAAATCATGCTTGCTAAGTAAAAAAATTAAGACAACCATTTTATTGGCCAAATGTGAGTTTTGGTGTATGCTGGTTGTGTTAAATGGGCCTAATAAATTAAATTTCATCCATAGACTTTTTTTTCCAAAAAGTTTTGCTCAGTTAAAGGATTTAATTTCTCTAGTCCTTTTTACTCCCCCCCCACTCTTCTATGAGCTTAGCTTCATTTATTTCATACAAATAGATATGAAATTCAGAGTTATGAGTAGTAATGACCAATTAGCAAAATATAAACCACCTATTCCCAACAAATTCTATATAAGAGCCTTAAAGATTTTAAAAATGAAGATTTAAAAAGATAAGATTTTTATGCCTGTCTGGCAAAAAAAAACCCTGTATGTATGTATTTGTGTTTTATTTTCAGTGGTTCTTGTAAATTTGTAAATGAGCATAACTAAATATGGATTTTCCATTGTACATAAATTACATACTGGATCCCGAAGAATTCCTTTCATGAAGCAAGATGTTTTCTGCAACAACTGAAACTATTCTGGACCAGTTTTTTATTTTATTATGAACTATTATTTAATTTATTATGATGAGCTTTACTTTCTGATTGACTGAGTAGAGATGCATGTGACAAATTATTTTTAAATTAAATGTAAGTTGTACATATTTTCAACTAAAAGTGTTAATATTTACTCTAGGTTGAAGTATGTCGAAAAAAGCATTTCCAAACAAGACCCTTAAGTTCTTCATCAGATCCTGGAGGTAAGCACTATCCAGCATAATATAACTTGGCTTCATGTTGATGCTGTATCCTGCTACTTTAGAATTTAAAGCATTAATTCACATTCCAGGTCTTACTTTATAAATATGTGCTTAAAATCCATTCATTCTGTAGATAAAATATCCATACATGTAATTAGTCTGTTTCATTATATACAGTAATCATCGATCTGTTTTCATTTTATACATAAAATACAAATCATGATTTCATATGAGTGGTCGGTCCTTGGTGCTCTCTGAGCCTTGTTTTCTTGCAGACATTCATTACCTAAACTATTTAATATAATCAGCGCTCATAAGGAGTTGATTTGCCCTATTGGTGTTGCTTAGATCTGGCCCATGGGGCCACCCTGAAAACAGTGAAGGACTGGCCTGCAAGCTCTGTTTTCGCTGGCAAAGGGTTGTAGGAAGCCATCCCAGCCGAAGCTTGTGAGCCTGTTTCTGCTGGCCAAGTGCTCCCATTGGTGCCTCCAACATAAGTGATGTCAAGATGGTCACAGCCATCCTGGCCTTGCCCCCCCTGAGGTGGCCCTCAATGAAATTGAGTTTGACAACCCTGCACTAGAATATAAACTGAGAGCAAACCCACTCCTTACCAGCATTGATGATGTTACCTAGTTTGGGTAATGAAACATTTGCAAGAAAAAAACGAAGCTCAGAGAGCACCAAAGACCCTCATTTCAACTCTTAGTTTAATCTGGTAGTTTGAATAAAATATTGTCTTTCTCAGTTCCTCAGGCACATTCAGGCCTTTTCACTGAGTCACCCGTATCTTGGGCCACTGTGCTTTCACAAACTCCCAAAAAAGTTCTTTCAGTTCCAACTTCAATTCTGGCAAGCAATCATTCTGGAAGTAAAAAAACAGATAATGTTCCTGAGGATTACAAGGTATGAAGATCAGTTTCCAAGCTCTTTTCCTGTTTTATAATCAACCAGAACTTTAGTGCACCTGCAGTATAAAATATTTAAATGCATGGATTTGTAAGTGGAAGAATGATAATTGTGGTAAAAATCAAACACATGTATAGTATTCTTGCTCTGAATTAATAAAATCTATTTCTCTAGAATATTTTTAATAGAAGTGGTATAAAAATGAATATATGAGATTAAGTAACCCACATTTTTCTTTCTTTTTCTGTGCATAATGACTCTCCTGATCAACTTTCATTGATTTTCACTACATAGCTTTTCTTCTATTTATATTTATTATTGAGCATTTATTTATGTAAAAGATTTATATGGCCGCCCATCTTAAGCGTCTCTGGGCAAACTCACGATAACAATAAACCAATAAATAAAATGATCATATTCTGCAATAAAGTCTTGGCTTTTTTTATACCTCTCCTAAGAAATTATTTACTTCTACTTATACAGCAACCAGAAAGAAGAGAAAATGCAAGTAACCTTGAAGAAACAGCAAATAAAAAGAAGAAGAAAAAGAAGAAAAAGAAACCCAAATCATGCAGTGAAGTTGAGAAACTTCCTATCCAGAGGATTTTAGTTCAAGACCCTCCAAGAATCGAGGTGCTAAAGCTAATTATCTGACTCAATTAATTATTCATTTATGTGTTTGTGAAGGAATTATATCACAGTATAATTTGAAGAAATAAAAAGTAATTATGGTTTAAGTTTCACATAACAATAAAAAATAATATAAATTTTATTTTATGTAAAATAAAAATTAAGCCTAAATTCCAGGTTTTAGTATAAAGTTCTTTCCTTAATTATTTAAAATGTTAGGTCCTATTTAAAAATAAAGGATTGCTCTTTTTATTGTACTTTTTAATGCCATGTGTAATAATGATAGTACATAAGTGGAGAAAATCACAACCTTCTTATAAAAGTTATACATTCTACCACTGAGTAGAAAATAGTGTTAAACTCCTGTAGTGTATAATAATACTTTTTCTTTAAGTTTCTAACTTTTGGATTAGTACTGTTTTATAATATCTTTACCAACATTAGGGATTTGTTTTCCTCGAGTGTGAAATAAACAAAGAAATACAGACATACATACATACACTAAAAGGAGAAGACAAAAGAGAATGGCTTTGCTTAATGCCCTTGGCTTAGTAAAACCTACTGGAAATTCATCTTAGAGAGTAACTATAATAATAAATTAGAAATAGATTGTTTTATCGCTTACTTCAACTGATTTCAGCTGCACATTCTTAAATCTCTATTGGGATTTCCTCTGAGAGGGGTGACATATAAGTTTAATAAATAAATAATAGCTTTTGAAAATGGCTTAGTGGCTAGCTCATGTACTTTTGCTTTGTATTTATATTCTGCTTTATAATTCAAAAACTTTCAAGTACATTATCCTTCATAATTTATCACACAAGACTATTGAAAATATGTTTTCCATATTCCTTTAGTTACTAAACCAATATGCCTAGTGGATATATGAAAGATGTGAGATACAATCCTGAGAATTCGGAGAGTCTTAGTTATTATGCCAACTTAGTTACTTGATTACCGATATATCTTTAAAATTAGAAATATTATGTCACTTCTCTTTTTAATCACTTCATATAAAAAGCAGGAAACATACTCAGAACCTAGAACCTGGCATAATACTATAATGAGAGAGAGGGAAAAGGAAGGCTTGCTTCTAGGGAATAGTGTGATATAGCTTAAACCAGAGATAAATAATCTTTGGAGTCCAAGGCCACTGTAGGATAGAACTGTATCGTTCACATGAATAGTCCGGTCCTTTGAACTTCAGTTTGAGCTTTGGTGGTGGTATTATGGAGTTTTTCTGTCTTATGTGTCTTACACCTTTTCTTTTGTGTTTCCCACTTAAAAATTGTAAGAAAACATATAATCAACATTTGCAGCATGGTTAGAAAAGACTGTGTAGCTTTGAGAAAGAAGATCGAAGTGGCTTCTATCCTGGTGATATTCAGGGAGTTATTAGGCTTAGCTGTCTACCCAAAACTTGGGGCAGAACAATGGTTGGGCTTCTTTAAATGGGTCTTTTGTTTATATGTTTGTCTTTGAACCACCTGTGATTTTCTTTTGGGGTTTTTTGGGTGGTGGTGGTGATATTGTTCTTGTTTTAATTTTAAGTGATTTAAAAATCTCAGGAGTTAGTCTCTGAATTATATCTGTAAATAAATAAATAAATAGTTTCCTACTCTGATCTATTCAATCTGCTTTGATTTACATAGGATATTGAAGAATTCCCAGATTTAGCAGCTGCTTTTGACAGAAAACATAAACAGGCAACTGAAAGTATTCCTTGTTTAACACCTATTATTGAGAAGACTAAAGTAAGAATTATTATTTGTCTCTATTTTCACTTTTAAATGGGTATTCATTATTTTTATTTTTAAAGTATATTTATTTGTTTTATTATAAAAGGTAAAATATAACATAGAAAAATAAACAAAGCAAAACAAAAGTATATATCCAGTACTGCTAATAATAAAAAAGAAAAAATGGCATACAAAAAAACTATGATCCAATACCAAGTAAATTGAACATCATTTTTATTTTTTTTAATGGCTGGGGTTTATTCCTCTTTCATTTCAAATTGGTCTGAGCACTTTGCTCAAGTGTATTAAATATCATGAAAAATAAATGCAGTGAACTTCATTTATCAGTCCACTGATAAATAATATCAGTCATAATAGAGGAATTGGGAATAAAAATAAGAGGAAGACACATACTGACAGAAGTTTCCTTTGTCTCCACTGCAATCCAGTGAACAGGAAGGTGATATGATACAAAGTATCAGTATCATCTTTCTTAACCAAAATTCTTGAAGGCTGTAAATAAACTTCATATGGTTTCTTAGAATATAAAAATAATAGAGAGCTGCAGTGTTAGAAAATAACCTTGGAAAAACATCCTTGTCGGTTTGCATTTTCATAAAAGGATGTCTTGCTAGATTTTATGGTTGGTAATTTTGTGAATAGGCAAGTACCCATGGAAGGTATTTTATGAAACATGCACCTTATGGTCTCAAAACTGCTTCCTGGCTCCCAATTTATTAGGAAAGGCTGCCCTACACACATTAGAAAAGCTTTGGTAATTACTTGTACTCAAAGTTGTTGATGATAACATCTCCATGCATGCAAGTTGGGATGGACAATCTTATCACATATGGCACAGAGAGATATGTGAAACTGAAGAACGGAAGCAGGAATAGATGCACATGTGAAAGCATTCATGGAATATCACTTGAATCCAAACCTGTCATCATAATTTTGGAGTTAGTAACTAGAATCCTGTTAACTCATGAGCTTAGATCAGTAAATTAAAATCTACAAGTAGTCCTTGTTTTGTAACCAGCAGCGTGGTTATGAAATGAAATTGCAACAATGTGTATGTTCTTACTTCAGCTTTCCTTTGCTTTACAGACCTGCAAAAGTTGTAAATAAAACAACTGGTTGCAAAGTTTCTTTTTCATCACCATTATAAATACAGACGGTTACTAAACAAGTCAACTGCTAAACAAGGACTACTTTTGTTTAGATTACTGAACTAAGCTATACTTTTTCACCCTTCATACCTTTTTCATTGTATTTGTTTTCCAAGGTAATCACAAAGCTCTCTACATTTGAGTCTCATGACTGTTCTCCAAAGGAATTAATAATACCTATGCCAGATGTATTATCAACAAGAAAAACAAGCAAACAGGATTCACCAGCTCCAATACAAAAAAAGAAAATGCTGGTGAGTTTGTTCTTTCTGTGTTACATTAACTTGCTTGTGAGCTATATGAATATTGCTGGATAGGTATGCTCACATTTATTTCTTAGATAAAATTTGGAATGGAAGAAAATATGTGGGATTTTATTTATTTTTTTGGTACTTCCTACAGGATACTCTGCCCTCTAAGAAAAATAGAAAAAAGAGTCAGATTCCTGTGCAGCTTGATTTGGGGGATATGCTGGCAGTTTTGGAAGAAAAACAGCATGCAGAAAAATTAAAGCAATCATTTAAACCTGTGGTACTTTCAGGTATACTTTTGATATTGTTTCTCTAGATGACATTCAAATCTATCGTTCTTTTTCTATTTTGTACTTCATATCTTCTAAGGTGAGATAATTATTGAAAGATTTCAATAGAAGGAATAGAAATAATTCAGAGAAAGGATATTATTTTATTACCTGTTCACAGCCATGTGAAGTCAAAGCTACCAGTTCTTTAGCTGATGTTGACTGTCATATGCATCAATTTTTTCCATGTAATTCTTTTTCTTGCCAGTATTTTGTCCTTATTTTATTACATTATTTTAATATTTGTTTTGTTTTCCTGTACCTAAGTTTCCATTTTTAATGTGCATCAATGCTTGTTCTTAGCTGTCTTTTATGTAACCAGCCAATGCATGCTGTTCTTCAATAACTTGTTTGATTTGAAGTAAACCTGCTTCCATTCTGTGGGGCAGGTAAAATCTATCAAAACCACTATGTGGATTTAATGCATAGTTCATTAGCTTTAATGTTTTTCAGTCTAAATGGTCCACTTTTATATCATAGGCAAGGCCCAAGTATTTCCACCATTCAAATAAATAATAATAAATTATGATGATCATGATTTGTGGTAATCCACCATTAGATTGACAGGGTTAAACACTGAGTGGATATAAAAGATAAAGCTGCTCTTAATCCACAAAAGTTTGTGAGAGCAGTCTGAATATTTACAATAAATGTGGTCAGACTTTGTTCACAGATCTGAAATGCAAGGTGGTAATGACTTCACTGAATTTCAGTGAAGAGTTTCATGACTTCTTAAATGTCATTTAAACATTTAGTGTTAAACACCAAGCTGGTTTTATTTGCAGTAATAAGGTAAGACTGCCCATGAACACTTGCTGGAGCAATCTGCAGTTGAGTGGAAGAAGGTGCGAGAGAGAGCAAATCAGAGTATGTTATCATTTAAAAAAATAATTGTTAGTGATTGGGGACAAACCCCCAAGCAGAGTGCACAGCAGCAGTCAAGCCAGGCAGCCAAATGAGAGAGAGGCTGGGCCCAAGAGTATACACACACTGGAGACAAAAACACTGTTTGTAGTTTTAAATAGTTATTTAATTCACACAGAGTTTAAGCAGTGTCAATCAGTCCATATGTCATTATCCAATATATCCATCCAGTAACTTAGTTCATTAACTAGTCAGTACAATGTCTTTATCTGCTTGTAAATCTTCTCCTTCCGATACCTTTCTCTCGAAGACAACGCTGAGTATGCACAGGATATCAGCTCACCAAGTAAAGAGTCCTTTTGTTCAGTAGAAACAGTATCCAGCACAGTAGCCAACAAGCAGACGTCTCATACAGGAGTAAACAGCAGGCAGCAGAGATCAGAGAAACCAGGGACCAGACCAGGAACCAGGAGCAGTAACCAGGGGCAGGAAGTGTTACGTTTCTCTCACTGCCTCTTATTGCTGCTTGCAACCGCACCCTTAATTATCTAATTACATTGCAGTTTGGTGCTTAAAGTTACAAACACTTAAACCTAGGTTTATATATTTAGTCACCCAAACCTAGTTGGTGTATCCATATACCCAACAATAGTGATATAAAAAACTAATTACTTTTAGTTAAAATTGGTAGGAATGGGGCAGAAAAATTGATAACAGTTTACTTTTCAAAAACTACCATGTTCCCAAGAGAAGGCTTGTGTAATATATTGCTACCCCAAAAAAGGAAGATGTTCTGTTATACATTCTTGAGTTCATGTGATGAATTTACTGCTGAACCTTAATTACACTCAAATGTAAGTAATGGCTTCAGATTTAAAGCCTCCATCAGATTATATTTGCATATTTATATTTGTTTCAGTTGGTGGTGGAGTAACATTGCCCTTAAAGGAATCTCCCAGAGTGACAAAAACTTTGCAGTCAGTTCAGAAAAATACTCCACACAACCCCTTGGACTCTAGTTCTCCATTGGTCAAAAAGGGGAAGCAGAAAGAAGTCCCGAAGCCAAAGAAGCCAACATCACTAAAAAAGGTACATTGATCTAACCACCCCAAGTACAGTATTGTATAACTGTTGCTCCTTTGCCCTACCAACATTTCTCAACTGTGACAACTTGAAGATGTGTGAGCTTCAACTCCCAGAATTCTCCAGGCTGGCTGGACAATTCTGGCAATTGAAGTTAATGTCTTAAAACTGCCTTAGTTGCAAAACACTGCTATAGATGCATTGGCCTTCTTTAATGTTTAATACATATGAAATTCTTCAGACTGTTGCTATAAGAAACATATTAAGGACTAATACATTAATCCTTAGGAATGTGGGTAAGATAGAATTTGAGTCAATTCACTGTTAAGGTAGAATTGCTGAAAAGAGTTTTTTGGGGACAGGCTGCTGAAATGATCAGGAATATCAAATGCATAGCTAACCTATTTTGACACACCAGCATAACATTAGGATCCTCCTGTGACCTACCTTTTAAATTAACATTAAAAAGATGCTTCTTCATGTTAGTAAAATAGTACTGAAACTTTATTAAGAACACACAATAGTAAAGAAAGCACAGAGGGGTGTTAGGTTTTTTTTTAAATGAGCCTCAAAAAAAAAGTATGAACAAAGACATGATGGGAACACTTGATAGGAAGACATGATGGGAAGACTAATACCAAATGGTAAACAGGTACTAGAAGCAAGACTAGCCTTGAAAGAAATTGAATGAGGCTTGCTTAGTGCCTGTTCAAAATCCAATCCAAATAGTATTCTTTCTGAATATTCATGCACCTAAAAGGCTGCATGTCAGATTCTTTTCTGCATTCTGGAAGGTTTCATTCACAACTTAGATTCCTCTGTTTCTTTCTTCCCAGTTAGTCATGGCTCCCAAGACAATTTCACAGAAGAAGGGAAAAAACATCTAGCTAATTTCTCCCATGCTTTTTAGCTGCCAGGAAAGAGGTGGTGTTCTTCCTCAGGGATTTTGGACATGTGTCCCTCTAGATTTTTGGCCAGTGGTGGGTCAACATGAATAAAATTTGATCTAATGAGAATCTCTGGAAGCCTACTTTACTAAAGGCATTCATTTTAACCCATCCCATTGAGTACATGGAACAGGAATTCAGTATTTCCACATATTTAAAATCTATTCACTTTCCCTACTACCTTTCATGGAAAGTCAGACAAAAAGGATCCTAAAGTAGTTAAATTTTGCCTGCCAACATTTCAGGAACCAGTTAACCTTATTTGGAAGGAGCCTAATGCAAGTATTTTCTTTTTAAGATTATTTTGAAGGAGAGAGAACAGCGAAAACAGCAACACATTTTAGAACAGATGGCTATACCGAAGAAAGCTGACGTTGTTGAGCAGAATGCAGAATCTGTTCCTGATGACGAACAATTTTGTAAAGCCCCCAGAGAAGGTACAGGGTTCATCGGCAACCGGTTCAGGTCCAGGTGCTTGTAGGAAATGGTTTTTTTTTTTAAAAAATGTTAATAATTGGTGTGGCTTGTTTGTAATACAGCTGCTACCGCACATAAGCTTAGACATTGCTTTTTCCTACAGCGTGCACAAAGAATCTTGTTTAAAAATTCTCATCTTCCTTTTGCAGATATAATTGCCACCTTTGAGCCTTTTGTAGATAGTTAAAAACTGCAGTGGACAAGGTTGGTCTTCATTGCACCAGGCTTATACCTTAAATTGGCATCTAGGATTGCAGGGTTTTCTACATGCAAAAGGCACCGTTCAATGTAAAACAAGAAAAGGACAGAATTAGTTTCTCTTATAACCTAAAGGGCTTGAAAATGCGAAGAAGAGATATTCTTTCTATTTTATGCTCTAATCAAAGTTTAAATGTAACTATAACTTCAAGTGTAAATGTAATAATAGCTATAACTTAGTTATAGTTACATTTAAAATTAGTTATATATTTAAAATCTATAACTGTACCCCCACACATATATATTTATCATTGTATAAATTTAGTATATATGTATGTATCACTTATTCAGTCCATTCTCAAGCAATATATAAAGTTTAACAATAAATTAAATATAACATGCAATGAAAACATAGAATAAAGTAAAATAAGAAAATTTGAGTAATGGTGTTTTGAATATTGCATGGTGATTGTTCACTTTGGCTTTAGACAAATGGTTGAGCCCTCTCCTACTTGGTATTGATTTTATCTCACAGATAGTCCTCGACTTACAATAGTTTGTTTAGTGACAGTCCAAAGTTACAACAGCATTGAAAAAAGTGACATGACTGTTTTTCATAGTTACGATCTTTGCAGCATCTCCATGATTCAGATGCTTGGCAACTGGTTCTTATTTATGACCATTGCTGTGTCCCAAGGTCCTGTGATCCCCTTTTGGGACCTTCTGACAAATAAAGCCAGTGGGAAAGCCGGATTCACTTAACAATTGGATTACTGACCCTATCAACTGCAGTGATTCACTTAACAACTGGGGCAAGAAAGCTTGTAAAATCAGTAAAACTCATACAAATGTCTCACTTAACAACATAAAATTTTTGTTCCATTATGGTCATAAGTCAAGGACTACCTGTAGTTATAAATATGAAACATATTGCCTTTGAAGGATGGTGATGTGATCATTTTAAATGTTAACTATTTGCTTTACGTACAAAGATTGCTTAAACTTTAAATGGAAATATATAAGATGTCCTGTTCCATGGTTTTCCTTTCTGTAATCTCTCCTCCTTATGTGGCCTGTCTCTTTTCATGACATTTTCACTTTAATCATTCCTTAATAGATTTAACTGGCCTAAATTAGTCAATAGTACTTCTAAGGCTTCTGATCTATTAAAGTAGTAATAATAACCATTTGTGTATACAACTTCCTTTTACTTAGAAGTTATAAAAGAAGTTGCAGAGGAGCCAGTACTTCTGACGCAAAGTAGTTCAGAAGTGGACTTGAAATGTACAGAATCCAGTGGCTCCGTGCAAAACTCCACTGCTTCATTGCAGTTGAAACCCAGCTTTCCCAAAATCCACAGCCGAAGATTTAGAGAGTAAGTACATTGGTATCAGTCATTCAAACGTTGCTTCTGTTATGGGCCTGGGAGGTCTGTGAAAGTGAGATGCCTGATGATAGTTTTGGCCCAAAGCTACAATCTGAATAGAATCCTTACAAGGCTTACAAGTTCAGATGTTCAGCTGAATGTGAAAAATTGTCAAACTGGATAGAGTATGAAGATATCATTTCTTATTCTCCCCAACTTGGGTAACATGAATGTTTGAAGGGAAGCTCTACTCATACTGATCTGAATTGTTAGTACAGATTCCCATGCAGTGCAAAATTATGTTTTTTTCACTCATGTTCAAATAAGTAATTTTGACTTGAGATTTCCAACCAAACCTCTGAAGATCAGAAAGGGATGGAGCTACCTCTGTGGCCCTCTTCTGGATCCAATTTAACTTCCTCCATTTATTCAGTTACATGCTGGATTAGTAAAATTCTGGAATGACCTTAATTGTGACCAAATTACATTTTAGGGTGGAATGGTGGATTCACACTTTTGAATAAGCTTGACCACTGGAAAGTTTTGGTTCATCAAAGAAGAAATTGACATTTTTGAACTCTCTTATGTACTGTTTGGTTCAGGTGATGTTAATTAGGTGTCAATTGGGTTCAGCCCCTGGTATAAGTAGTAACAAAATATATTCCATCTTAACTTGTGCCTGATAACAATCCATAGCTTTTCCAAAGACATTTCAGCAACTTCCTTAACACTATCCTTCCATCTAATTAGTATTTGCTCCTTTTTCTACTTCGTTCACTGTTGCCAAATGTAGGGATTTTTTCCTCCCCCCATAGTCCATCATATCACATGTCCAAAGTATTCTATGCTGATCATTGTTTCAAGGGAGACATTAGACTTTATTTAGTCCAAAACTGCTTGGTTCTTTTTGTAGTCCACAGCATTTTTAAAATTGTCTCCAAATCTGTAACCCTCATTATTTCACTCTACCTTAATGTCCGTGATTAATTGCTCTACATTTCTGTTAAAAAAAAATCCCATGTTTATATCTTTATTCCCCGTGATGTCAGTTTGCCATTGCCATCCTGCTAAAGTTAATCTGCTCTTTATTTCTGTAGTATTCTGTCCATCTTTATTTTTGACCCCCAAACTCCAAAATTATCTACCATCTTCAGTTCTTTCAGCTTTTAGTTGAATGTTCACAATGTATATGGATTGATATGTCCTTTGTTTTCTTATTGTTTTAACATTAACCCATAATTTTTTCGCTTCTAATTTTTATTTCAATGTTGTTTTGAGTCCAGAACAAGCCATCACATTCTGGATGTTCTGCCAAATAGTTTTAAGCCAGGTACAATTTGATAGAACTGAAATGAGAAATACTTTAGTTATTCCAAGCTTCAAGCAAAATAAAATATGGATGGCGAGAGTAAGACAAGGCTGTTATCTCTCTCCCATTAGCATATTCCCTCAGCATGCCTACCACATGGTCACCCCAGGGCGGCCTTCTTTCATTCTTTTTTCAGCTACTAGCGTTGTTAGGGTTCTTCCCCCCCCCCCCATTCTCCCATTTCTGTAGAACTACTTCAACCTGGAACAGTAACTTTCAATCGGTGCCTATTTATGCACCCAAATAGCTGAAATATGTATGTAACTATTAATCTGATTCAAAACCATCTATTATTGTGTGCCTCTCTATTAAGTAAGGTATTCTCATAAAGTCTCCTTACTTTTGGTGAATGAAGTCAGCATTTTCTGCACATATCAAATTTTCAAACTTCCCAGTTTGATTCCAACTGTCTAGCTTTCTATTCTTATATAGATTGCCTGTCTGGTTTAAAATGAACAATATGCATCCTTTTCATATTGCTTTCCAATTCTGAACAACCTTTTTTCCCCACATGTAGTTCTTACAGTAGCTTCTTGGTCATTTTAAAGGTTCATCTAAGGAATAATTGGATGTTCTGGCATAACAATTATATATTTCACATTCTGGCAAGACTAGGCATAGCTGTACTGTGATGAAGCAAAATATCTTAAATTATCTAACTTTACTACTGCCCCGTTTTAGCTATCTGAACTAATGTCCTCTTTTCTGAAATCTGTCTTTTGATATGGCATTTTTCTCTCCACAAATCTCCAGATCCTCTTTGTAAGATCTTAAGCAAAATTTTGCTTATGTGAGAAATTAAGGAAGTGATTCCGTTATTTCTATGCAATTATATTTTCCAGTCTCTGGGCTTCAGAGTGTTGTTCTGTGTATGAAGTAAAACTCTTTGTATCTTATCTGTTTCTTCTGTAGCTTTAAACAATTCAATAGGAATTTCATCTATGCTTGGTGCTATTCCTTTTGACAGCTGGTTTAATGTCTCTTGTCCTTCACTTCTAGGAAAGTCAGTTCCTGAATATATTCCTCTGCAAGAAATGTTTCTATTATTCTGCAATCCTGTTTGTAACAAAGATTTGAGTATTATCTTTTCAACTTCTATTAACTTCATTTGCTTCTATCCAATTTCTTCCATGTTTCTTCCTAAGAAGCCCTAACTTGGCTGAAACCTCCCATGGTTTTTGTGATCTTTCTAAGGCTATCTCTACTTTTTCATTTGTCGGGTTTTTAAAGAATTTTTTTCTTTTTTACATTATTGAACTATCTAATCCTTTCCTGCTTGATGTTGAAAGCCTGTGTTGATTTATAATAAATCTTTCTTATTGCCAGAGGCTTTAGCTTTCATCCTTTGTCTTTTCCCAGCTATCATGATGCTTGATCTGCATGTCATTTGAATAATTTCTTTGAAATGTTTGAATTTTACAGGGTCTCTTATCTCTTCTGATCTCTCTTCAGGTTCTCTTTCACATAAGGGTATCTATTCCCTCGACTGAGCTTAATTTCTGTATGTATTTCTCCCAGTAGAACTTTCTTAGCATTTGTTTAACTTTTAAAGTTTAACTTTTATATTTGACATCAATAATTCATGATCTGTTCCACAATCTTCACGTGGAAGTGAAGTGAATCTTCACCTGGCTGAACAAGTTATACTTTTTTGATCATCTTGTTTCCTGTTATAAAGGAGATCTTATTCTGAGGTTGTACATTCAGTGATTTCCATTTTGCTTATGGTGCCACATGAATATTCCATAGCATATTTTGGTTTACTATTCCAAATATTGAATGTCAAAAATCTAACTTATTTGTATGTATGCATATTTGATTAGAATGCATAAGAAAGAAGGTAGAGTCAGGCATTTGCTAAAATACTAAAACAATTTATTCTTTCTTTAGCTACTGTACCCAAGTGCTTAGTAAAGAGGTTGATAGCTGCGTTACAGATCTCCTAAAAGAGTTGGTTCATTTCCAAGACCGCCTGTATCAGAAAGACCCTGTGAAGGCCAAGACGAAACGCAGACTCGTTATGGGACTCAGAGAAGTATTGAAACACCTGAAGCTGAAGAAGTTGAAATGTGTCATCATTTCTCCAAATTGTGAAAAAATTCAGTCAAAAGGTATTTTTTTTTACCTTAAAAACATATTTACTTAAAACAAACAGATGACTTTTGTGATGGAGTTTAGTGGGACATTGGGAAAATCCCTCAACACATAAATGAAGAGAAATTAGTTTACTCTGTCAGCAAAATTCTTTTAACGGTTCATATATTTTTTTAATTTTTAATTTTTTGTTTTTTAATCACAGGTGGGTTGGATGAGACTCTGCATCTCATAATTGATACTGCATGTGAACAGAATATTCCATTTGTTTTTGCTCTCAATCGCAAAGCTCTAGGGCACTGCGTGAATAAATTAGTGCCTGTTAGTGTGGTGGGAATATTCAGCTACGATGGTGCTCAGGTGAGTTGTGCTATAGCCACTGTTTGCCCTCTTCGGTTAGTATAGATTTGAATATCAGCTTTTAAAAGTCTTAATTAGTAGTATTATAACAGTTACTGCCAGCATTTAAAAAGATGCCAATCAATGCTCCAGGGTATTTTTCTATGTCCTTAAGTAACTTGGTGCTATTCCAAGTTTTAGAGCAATGCAGAATGGTTTGTTCATGATTACTTCTACAATAGTAACCATGTTGCCACCCAGCAACTATGTCAATTTTATGTAGCTACCTATATGTTCAGTACAGATGTCTGCAAAAAGACATGTTTTTGTGTGCATGGCTACAGGTAACTTTTATTAGATTTAGATCATCTCACTCTCAGAAGCAACTTTTTTCACATAAAAATTGATTTTCATTGAGTCAGAGCTCTGCACTGAATACATGGATTGCTTAGCAAGCTGGACTCATTGCAGTGAGAAGATGGTTTTGTCTCAAATGTGTATATGTCAGATTCTCCTTTGTAATAATTACTGAGTAACATGAAGAAAAATATACTTATGTTTGAAACTTGAGCAAATTACTTTTTCATTGCTTTCCTGCACACTCCTACAGAAATGCCGTTTTGGCTGTAGCATAATATTATTTCTAACTTGTTTGAAGAAAGAAATCGCTGCACTTTCACCATGCCCCAGTTACTCCATATAATTCTGAACAAAGTATATTACAACTGTAAACAAGATGTACTGTGTAGAAACTTATTAATAAGTGATTAATCCAAGGCCCTTTATCAGAGAAGATATACATATTTCCCAACTACCCCACGTCACAAAATTAGTGGGGGGGGACTAATTTTCCATTTAATCACCTTCCCAGTATTTCAGTATCCAACAGTAATTGCAGTTGTTGGTTTATTAACATCAGTCCATTCCCTTAGATTGGTGCAGCATCTAGGGCTGTTGGTCAAGATGATAACATCTTTTGCTGCCTAGTTTAATTTTAGATTCCTAAATGATTGACTTATTAAAACCATTGGTATGATAAGTTGCATTCTTATAAATAAGACCCCATTTGTAAATACAGTGCAAGTTACTGATGAATCAAGAAGCTTCATGGCTTCTGAATTCCTAAAACGGACTTTCCCTAAAACAAAAATAAGCAAACTGGACTTACTTATCTGTAGTTCTCTTACTTATTTGTATCATGCCCAGTTCATGTAAATAGAGTTAGTTTTCACATATAATTAGGATCTTGGCCACAGAGATGTACGGAGGCACTATAATATGAAATGAATTTTTACATAGGTATCACTGTAGTTTTTATTCAACAGGTTTTTTGTTTCAATGTGCTGCACTTGTTGATTCTGATTGCTAGCAAATTTTATATAGTTACTAGGTATTCTCTATAGTTAGATGGGTTTATTTTGTTGTCATTGCACCTTGTACAACTAAATTAAATGTCATCTTCAGTGTACATCATACATAAGAAAACTATTAAAATAAAACAAAAATCCTTCACATTCTATACAATTGAATTGAAAACCCCTGATACTACATCAGTATTACACTATACAGTAGAGTTCAGTATAGTTACTGCTGTGGAATAGAAACTGTTTTTCAGCCTATTTGTCTTTGTTTTTATTGTCCTGTATTGTCTGCCAGATGGTAATAGTTCAAAATTCCCCATTCTTATAAATTAGGACCACTTTCACAAAATGGTGGAATTGACAATGGAAGCAAGGCTGGCGTACAAGGAGATGATTTCAGCTTTAGAGAAGGAGTCAAGTGAAGAAGTAAAACAAGGTGACTGTGCACTCCAAACCCATCAGAAAGAGAATTATGCACTTGATAATGGTACAGTGCCCCTTCAAGAATCTGAAGAGGACGTCCCAAATTACAGTGAGTTTTCAGGGTCTTTGTTTAAAATACATTAATTCTTTTTGGTTCATCTGTATATTTTCATCTTTAAGGTAAACAGTTTTTATAATAGCAAAGATACCACAATTCAGTGATTACAGAATATTCTAGATGACTCGAGAATGTTCTGTTCCCCCACTACAACTATGCCATTCTTGGAGTAATTCATAATTTTCAAAAGTAAATTTTTTAAACCAGAAGCAGTTTTAGGAGTTTCAGACATTGAGTTCCAGGGGAACAGAACATTCAGGAATATTCTTCAGTTGCAGATTTGCCCATTACTTTGTTATAGCTGAATATGTCATTTAATTTGTCAAATTTTGATTATGTTAATCTAGGTTTGTTAATCCTTCCTGCAGTTTGTGCTTCAGTCTTTAGAGTGGAATCAGTGACTGCCTTTAAACCAGCCTTGCCTTGAGACTTCTACAGCAGAATAACTAAAGTAGTGTAATATCAAAAAATAAATACAGATAATCCTTGAGGTGCAACAGGCCATTTCATGAACATTCAAAGTTACAACATCCCAAAAGTTAAATACAAATTGGTTACAAAGTTATAAATTCTGCATCTCCCTCATGGTCATTTGCCCTTATCACTGACTGCAGAGATGCTGCAGCATACCCACCCACCCACCCACCTATTTCCCTCCCATCCTGCCCATCGAGATCCTCAGAGGCACTGGGCCTACTTTACCAACATACTGGATTCCATGCACTCCTCCCCACCCCTATTTCCCTGTCACCATTCACTTACCTTTTAACGAGCTCAGGAAGTCAGGGTAGAGAAGGCCCCTCCCTCATTGGGCCAAGTGGCACAATCAAGAAGAAGAAATGCAATCACATTTGCTTCTGTTGCAATCCTTTCCAGCCAGCATACACCGCTGCGATTTCTTCTTAGTTCTACCAGCGCTAGTTTTACACTAGTGGCGTTAAAAGAAATTGCGCCTATTTTGGTTCCTGGCAAGTCTTTCCTCCCCAGCCAGCATTTTAATCAGTGAAATTTCTTCTTAGCGCTGCCAGCTCTAGTGTTACGCTAGCCTTAACGCTGGCGACATTCAGAAGAAATTGTAGTGATTTACACTGGCTGGAGAGGAAAGGCTTGCAAGGAATCAAAAATAGGCACAATTTCTTCTTGGCTTTACGCTACTCTTACACTGGTAGAGCAAAGAAGAAATCCCATCTCATTTGCTTCTATGGCAATCCTTTCCTTCCCCAGCCAGGGTTAATCACTACTGATTTAGGCTGGTGGGGTGGAAAGGTTGCAAGGAACCAAAATAGGCATGATTTCTTCTTCGCACCACTAATATAAAGCTACACTGGCAGAGCTAAGAAGAAACTGTAGTGGTCTATGCTGGCTGGAGAGACAAGAATTACAACAGAAGCAACCCTGACTTCCTGAGCTTGTTAAAGGGTAAGTAAGCAAATGGCGACCGAGTGGGGTTTGGAGGAGACCCATAGGGTTTGGGGAGACCAAGGGGCAGGAGACAGAGCATAGGATATCTTAGATGGTGCGGGGAGGCCTCCTGGCAGTGCCTGTTCCTACACTTAGGCCTCCCTGGGTTTCTCCCATCCCTGACTCACCCCATGGTCTACCTAACAACCTGCACATTCTTTAACAAATGCATAGGGAAAGCAGGGACAGGGGAGGCCTTTAATTAAGCACTTCATTGAACACAGTAATGGAGCCTGAATGAGCAGGCTCCATTACTGTCCTAAGTCGAGGACCACCTGCACTACAGATATCCAGAATGGATACTGCCTCTGTAGGAGAAGCCAAGCAAAGTCACTATTACCTTGTTGATCTCATTTGTGATAGAACTTGTATTTAAAGTTGAATACCCTTCTCAGAGCGGTAGAGCTCCCGTGTTATATTTGGTATCAATTATAAGACAAGTTTGAATCAGTGCTCTGGTTTCTTCCGCCACCGTGTACTTATATTATTTCTTCATTTCTGATAGTGGTAATTCTTCTGAATGTAAGCCATATTGTGGAGTACTGACCAAGAAATACATTAATTCAGGGGTCTCCAACCCTGGTCTGCAGTATTAGTCCATGGCCTGTTAGGAACCAGGCCACGCAAGCAGTGGGAAAGCAAGCAAAGTGAGTGCATGTACGGGACCTAGGTTGCATGCAAAACCATCCCCACCCCCCACCTCCACCCCCATAGAAAAATTCACTTTGTGAAACTGGTGCCAGAAAGGTTGGGACTGCAGCATACATTAATACATTAGATAGGACAGATGAGCAACTATTTTTTATAGGATGGGTTATGTGTTGCTTTTTTACTTCCTTCAAGAATTCTTCATGCCTGAAGTACTGATCCATTCAACTAATATGTGAATTCTGTGTTTTCTAGTTTTTATTCTCCTCTATATTCTACCGGTAGAGTTGTTGGTGCCATCAGCAGTTTTTGATCGTATTTGTATAGTACTCCCTTCTACTTTTGCTAATTAAGTCAAGTGTCCCTTGTGTCAAGTTCAACTTCTGATGATTTTATGGAAGCATTAATCTAGATTTCATGCAAACAATATAGAAGTGGCTTGTGATCCCCCCCCCCCCCCATTCTAACCCAAGTGACCCTTTTCAGATAAACCTTTCCAACCCTGTTTTCTGAGATCATCCAAGGTTGGCCCAGTGCTGACATCTGTTTGGGCAGTTTATCTGATAAATTGTCTCAAATGATGAGTTAATTGGATTTTTATTGAGAACATAGATGACCTCCATGCTTTCTTACATAGCTTTTAAAATGATAATTAAAAATATTAATTATTTTAGGCAAACTGTTATTTAGCATATGTTCGGTCTATGTTCTTAATAAATGAAAACTTTCCATTTCCTAAAAAAAAAAAATCTTATGGTTTCCTTCATAAAAAAGTTATCATTTTATTTATGAATGATTGTGCATATTTTTGTGAAACTGGAGCTGAATACAAAACTACAAGATTTGAGTAGGAAATAGTTACAAGTTAGCTACTTTGGGGGACCATTTTTCCAATTTAAGTATTCTCAAAATTATAGTAAAACTACATTGCATTCATATACCGTTTATGTTATAGCATTTGTAAGCACTATAGCCTATAACTGTTGTGAAAATGTCTTTGCCCAGAGGAAAATCTTTTTGTGTTTTGTTTGTTTGTTTGCACCTCTAGTTAAGATCTGGAAGCAAAAGCTTGAAGAGGAGTATAATCCCTATATCCTGGAGCTGGAAAAACTGTCAACCACTGACATGTTGCCCTTGGGTGTTGAGGAGCCTCAGTAAATCAAGACTACCTTCTTTGGCATTATTGACTTTTACTTTATGTGTGTGTCTGAGTGTATATAGACGTGTAAATAGTGAATTACCTAAATTTAATTATCTGTAATATAGGATAGAAAACCCACAGTTGAATTTCTGAGATAATTTAATGCCAAAGAATTCAGAGCTGTTCAATAACTTCCCTCCGAGGGCGGATTCAGTGAAAGCGCTTGGCTCATCCAAATGGAATACGGATTGAGACAGGAATTGAATTGGGTTTGTCTGTCTTTTCATATAGCAATACTGTAGAGAAAGACCTTTAGTCTCTGCTCCGTATAAGCACAGAGTCTCCAATCACTGTTCTCATGATTTCCTATAATTATGTCACTGGATTGATACAAATGAACTGAATGAAATGAATTACGCTTGTAAGTGGTTTCTTTTTCTCTTTATGATAGAATACCCAACTGTGCATAAATAATAATATGAAATGGGAAAAAAGAAAAGGGAACACCATTGATTTTCTCTGGGACATTATTGTAAATATATATCTATAAAATATACTAATATATAATGATTAGACATAGGCAAATTAGAAAAACAAAAATGCAATACTGTCAGCTGGTTTATTTTGTGATGGAGCCATTTGGTGTAGGTCATGGGTGTGTAATTAAAAGATGGTAGAAACAAAGTGGAATTATTAAATACATAGAAAATAATCATTAATTTATTGGTACTGTATTTTCCTATTCTGTCCCATTCTACAGCTTGATATTAACTTTAGAGGGGCTCTGTACAGCCATGGAACTGACAGATATATTTGTTGCAAATAACCTGAATGGGATCCTCTCAGCTGTCAACTAAAATCTCCAGCAGTTTACTAAATATTGGGGGCAGATTATAGTCATGTATGGCATGGTGGCCTAGTGGTAAAGATGCTCACCTCCCAATCATAGGTAGCGTCAGATATTTCCTAGGC